TAAAGATAGCTATACAAGAGCTTTAGCCACCTTCAATCAACTACCTTCTCACCTCAAAACTTTAAATACCAATATAAAAACAAAATAAAAAAATGGATCAAAGGCCATCCATTCTAGATACAGGAATACAATGAACCACAAAATAGACTGTAACAATTTACAACAAATCTATTACAAACTAAAGCAACAAGGGAACTTTGATAATAGTCTAAATTCAGCATTGGAAGTCCATGTGGATGTGGATAAGGATAAGTTTCTCTTGGATGTAAGGACATATTTGTGTTCACAAGACACTTGTCCACTTCATCAAAATCGTTCTCATCGTCGAATGTCTGAATATAACATGAAAAAAATGAAAGTATCAGATAACTACAGAAAAATAATAGAAATAATTGCAAATGTGATTGACATAGCATGGAACTCACAACGGATAACTATTAATACCAAAACAAAAAACGGACTCAAAGAGGGAAAAAGAAACGAAACTTACATTCTAACAAAAACAGATACAACCAACATAAATTTTATTAATAAATCTGAATACTGCACATACAAACAATTAATTGGTAAAAAACATATACATTTCATAAAAGAAGAAAACAAAGAAGATCACAAAGAACCAAATACAGATAAAGTAAGATATAAACCCATAGAAACAGTATTTAAACAAATAGATGACATTGCAGACAACAATAGTATGCAAATAGAAACAAGTAAACCAAAAAATACACCAGGAAAACCGATTCTACAAACAAATAATATTCGAATGACCTATGGAGACATCAATTATCTTGGAAACAATAAAGCATTATTATACTTTTATAGAGGTACCAGAGGATATCAAACTTTCACAAATTCATTGTACTCACTGGAACAACAACCTAAATATAAAGATTTGATAGTCTATTATTATAGATTAGATGACATAGTATTCACAGCAACATGTAAATGCGATTCACATAGACAGCATAATGAAATGTTCCCTCACTATAGAGTCACGTGTGCTACAGGACTTACTTGTCCTGTTAGACTAAATACATACGAAAGAATATCATACGCAAGAAAAATGAAAGCATCAATGACGACAATCGTAACGGCCAGACAAATGTTAATCAGATATTGGAGATAGAAGAATAAAATCGTAGTTATTAGTGAAGTAAACTTTTATAGGAAGCATTTTTGCTACCAATATTAAGCCATACCTCATCTGTGAAATATTATAATCTATTATACAAACTGACTCTTAGTTTAAAATTTTTTTTTTTTAATTTCTTTAAGTGTTTAGTAGTTTTATAATACCAGACCAGCGAACAGGTTTATCCTCTGCCGGGTTACAAATTTGTAATGTATAATTGTATAATTATTACTACTTGTTGTAATATTTTGTACTATACTCTGGTTAATAATAATAATAATAATAAATTTGAGTATCCATTATGGTACGTAAAAGTCGAAGCGATGGATAATGAACGTTTCCGTGGTGTTTTGCGTATCCAAGGTACCAGATAACAGCAATTACGTGACCACAGGTACCTAAAGTTCGAGCTCCTGCTTTGCAAGTACAATAATATCCGTCTACTCGTATATCGTTATTTTCTTCTTCGGCGTCATATTCTGGATTAAAAGCAATCCATAATTGATGTTTAGTAGCATTTCTGAAACGGGAAAGCAACCTCACTCTTATAAATCCTATTTCGTTCGTATTTAAGTCGATTGGGAAAGTCATGTCTTCTTGTTCGCCGTCTTCCTGATTGGCTCTTAAAGAACTGTCTTGTATATAAGAAGGTGCTAAGTGAACTTGATACGTTCCATATGTCAGAGAATGTAAATCATCTACAGTTAATTCGGGAAATAGCGGAACATGCTCTGGAGTAAGGAGAACTCAGCGCGCTCTTCTTTGTCTTAGATTTTCAGCCTCTACTCTTGCCTGTATTACATTTTCTTCTTCTGCTCGATGAAGCATTTGGTTGGCCAAATCTAGTCTGCGTTTGGCATGGTTATAGGCCCATAGTACTTATTTATAATTGCACCAGCAATGCAAAGAAAGTCAGACAAGTTTGCAGCATGAGACGTTGGTACAGTATTTGAAAATATTTTAAAAATACTTTTCAAGTGACCATTCCGTGCTTCAACAATTCACCTGGTTTTAGTAATTAAACGTGTAGCATTTGCTTCTTCAGTTCGAAACTAATTTTCGTTGCGATCTATCAATGGTGGCATCTTCGTAATGAGGCCTATTTCTTGTAAAGTTTAAATTGAGTCTTGATACCCACGATCGACTATAGCAATATCGCCCTCTTGAAACCAATCCCACATTCCATTTACGTCTCGATTAAGCTCATTCAAAAGTATGCGATCATCATTGTTAGCTGCGTTGGAAAAATATGGTCCTTGGATACCCAAAAAATAGCCATCGGGAGCAACAATCATTGATGGTTTAACAAGATGCTTATGCTTATGAACACAATACGATTGACGTAGAACTTGAAAACAGGAACTCTTCTCAATATCTATATATGTACAATCAATGTAAACAATGGCTTTTGGATCTTCTGGCGTACAATTGTACAATTGGTTTGCAAAAGGTGTGACATGTCTTTCTATGTATTCGTTCCTGGTAATGGCTTCAAATCCAATATTTTCGAGACAAAATCTATTTGATAATGATTATCTGACTGTACTTATTGCCATGCTTGTAGCCTGCCTCGAAGTATAACGAAACATTACACATAAAAATTCGTCACTAAGACCTTGAGTTAACTTGCATAAAAAACAGAGAAGATCCTTTTTGCTAATATACCTGTATCCTCCTGGTATAGGTACTGGATCACAACAAGAAAATAGATCATTAAAATCAACTTTAGTTATAGAATAAAGCGTGCGAAACTCTTCGTCAGATACGTCGTGCTCATCTGCGTACCTGCGACGATCACCTTGTTCTATTTCTCCACGTATATCTTCTAAAAATGATTGCAACTCTTGACCATTTATAATATATGGCCTATTGATATACTCAATTCGTCTATCTGAGCTTCTGTCAAAAATTCTCTATCATTCAAATGATTTCTACAACACACATATTTTCTGGGAACATATATCTTTCTCTTTACGAAAATATGTATCCTACATTCTAATGTCAGTCTGTGGATATCATTATGACCATTACATATAAGGCACGATTGAGAAGAAGTCTGTGATAAAACATTTAATCTCAAGCATTGAGGATCATTGGCCATAATCTCTATTTCTCGACGGATTGTCACTATACAATTATTACACACGCGAGTATTGGGAGTTATCTCAGCTGGTGGTATACCATTTTCGTCGCGTCTTGCAATTGCGATTTCACGTAGAAGAGCATTGTTATCACCACCAATAAATGCAGTAATACGTGGTATCTGACGATTACCACAGAAATAACACTGTATTAATGCGCGGAAAGCCATTATTTAGGTGCTTTGATAGGAACTCTCGGAAATAAAACCAAATATCAAAGATTCAACAGGATTTTAAAAAGCTGTACAAAAACAATCACCGCCGTGCAGAGAGTATCTCCAACTATCCTGCAAAGGACTGTCGAAGAGAAAATCACCGCCGTGCAGAGAGTATCTCCAACTATCCTGAAAAGGACTGTCGAAGAGAAAATCACCGCAGTACAGTGTAGGTCTCCAACTGCCCTGAACAGGGCTACACATATATATCGTATATATATGATGTTGATAACCCAATAATACACGTATGCGGTTGCCTGGCCGTCGATATGATTTTTTGAGAGATATATGTATGTATATATACATGTCTATATATATGCATATATAGATTAATAATTTTTTATTTGTTTGCTGTGTTATTTGTATGGGTGCGCGTATCAACATATGCATACTAAAAGTTGATCACGCAGACGTTACCGGTAATTCAGAAATCCATCATTTGGCCTACATTTGAGGCAACATATCTGGAAACCTAGTCATAGCCGGTCGATGCGCCCATGGAGACTTTTTATCTACATAATGTTGGCTACCTAATCCCAAATTTTGAACCATTTCGACAGAAAGTCCTTTTCCGTAAGGTTTGTGCGGGGTCCTTTGTCTATTAACGTTATATATATATATATATATATATAACGCAAGTCTGATTCCTCAGATGAATGCATTTTTACTCAATTTCGCCTATTATTGCTTAATTTTGCCCATACGTTAGCCCATTTTTGTCCATTACTTACATAATCAAATAACGTTAATTTTAATTATAAATATTTATAACAGTAAATAAATAATTATTTATTATTGGTAGATTACATGTCAATATATATTTACTAATATAATTTACTAAGTAATAACGATGTTCACAGTACTAGCCAGGATATCCTAGCTACATAATATAAGCGCAGAAACATTTTAATTCAAGTTACACATTACACCACATTCATAGGCTTTAGAGAGAACTGAATTTTATATTTCGAACAAACAATTCATGAAAATATCAAGAAAAATAATCAATATTTTTAGAGTTATTGTTACATTCAATAATTTAAATCATTTACGAATCACTGATTAACCATCTTGAGCTTATCACGCAATAAACGTATTTTTTTTTCAATTTCTGAATATAGAGACCTTCATTTATTAGGAATTATATACATTACTTTTGAAAGTCATTAGCAAGTTGAAAAAATACTAATGTATTTTGAAGTATTAATTAATTGATAGTACCTACAATTGGTGAAAATATGAATAGTCGAAAATAAAATTTTAGTCTTGCTTAATAAGGATTATAAAAATGGCAATTGCAAAAACATGACAATATAACCTCAATTTGTCTGTATCATTTATCCCTATAGTCATTTTAAAGTATTAACGGGGTAATAACTATACCCAAAGAAAAATTATTACAAGATTATTTATCAACTAAGATTAATCTACATTTTACAATCTTTAAAATTACTATAATAATCTTAAGGAAACTTTTATCAATCACCTCTTAATACTTTTTTAACTTACGTTTCATAAAAAAATTAATAATATTACGATTACTGGAAGTAACAAATTTAGATTTTATGGAAAATATCGTATAATCATGTTCAATAGGATTTTATGCAAGCAACAATTTACAACCGATAGCTATATTTTTAGTAAAATAAGAAGGGTTGGGCAAATTCATCCCTCGTTAGCCCACCCCCTACTCTTACACACTCACACTCTATTTTCACGAGAATCGATCTCAAAGTTGGAGTCGCCGCAGTAACTACCCACAAGAAGCTACCGTTACAATTTATTTTTCAATTGTGCAATATTCTTAGCTTAGATTGTAATAGGAAACTTATTATATTTCTTTTAACTGATTAAATAAAAGTAACTGTAATGGTGAATCAACGACCCTATATTAATCAAAAGCTATATTATTTTATATATTTTGGAGTTGGATTGCGTTGATTGCGACATCATAACGATCAGTATTTAAGTTTTAGAAGATGCAATCTCTGTTAATACCACGTTAAAAATCGTGGGATTATTCCCCTTTTATAGGGATATGACGTAATGGCAAGAGAGGTAGACAGTATATAAAATTCATCTAATTTAGACTTTTTTGCCACTTTTGTTGATTACTTTAAATGATAATTAAGCATGCTGTACATTAATATTTGAATCATTCTCAAAATAATTTTTTTACTGATACATTTACAATTAAACTTATTCATGTTCAACAGCGAATTAACATAGTATTTTTTACAGTTTGCCTTTGGAGGTCCTTGTCTTGAAAACATTTTTAATGCATTGAAATTTTATTATTTGTTCGTCTATGTTAGTACTCAATTTTAGTTTTTTCTACAGATGAGGAAACGATTAAGTAGTCGATCCATTTTCTTAGATTCAGGTGTGTGAGTTCTATATAACACTAAAATTTAGTTTCTTTTACGTTTTTACGACGTTGAATTATTGCTCCAACATTGAAAAAGTTTAGTTAAGAAGTTTTTATTTATATAATTTTTGTAGATCTTCAATAAATTCGAGAAGTATCATTAATAATTAGCTACAATTTGTTGATTTAAATATTGTTTTTTTTTACCTGTTTTTTATTTTGAATTTATGCACATATTTTTATATATCAATCAATCAATACTTTTTTTAGTCTAGCTATGTCAGTTGGATAGGGATCAATTTATTTGATTAGCCTAATCACAAGATAGGATATATTTAAAAATATAATTTTATATTATGTACTCATAAATTCGTATAACAGCACAGATTCCTTTCAGCTATCTTATTTTAAATTTATGTATACTTGTATATATTAAAAAAAATAAAGTTGATGAAAAAATTCTACTTAACGTGATGAACAAAAGAGCCAAAAAAATAAAAAAAATAATTTTAATAACAGTTTTTTAGTATTCCTAAAAATTTTTTGCTTATCGGAAAAATTTCTATGTTCCATTGCTCATGGATGATAACTTATTTATTTCATAGACCATCTTTAAATACATGTATGGAAGATATGTCTTAAAATATTGAAAATTTGCAGTGCTTCATGCTTTCGAAACTGTAAAAAAACTGATTTCCTTTTCCTTAATATCTATAACATAAATCATTATTTTAAAATAAAGAAATGAGCTTTTTTTATAGTTTTGAAAACACCAAGAACTGTGAATTTCCATATTTCAAAATATATATCTTCGATACATGCATTTAAAATTGGTTAACGAATCAAATAAGTGATCACTTATGAATGCGAAACAGAGATTTTCTGATAAGCAAAAAACGTTCAGGAATACTAAAAAACTTTTGTTATAATTATTTTTCTTGATTTAATTAGGAATTCTTGTTGACAATGTTAAGCAGAATTTTTTTATGAATTTTAGTAAAAAAGTTTTATAAATATTTCAGAAAAATAATATTTCCGAATCGTGTAATTTAGATGTGATATAAATCTGTTATACATGAATTTACATTATTGTAAGTTCCAGAGTATACGAGGTGTGTTCAAAAAGTAAGGTGACTTTTCAAATTTCACGGGCAACGTACTTTCGATTATTGATTTTTTTGTTTTGTTATGTTGGTACACTCTTCCCGAACATCTGTACCAAGTTTCAAGTGTATAGCAATTTTTGTTTGGTTGTGAGAGGCGTAAAGGTTATAAGTGTTTTGCGTGCTCGGCGATTTCTTGCTATCGAAAAATATGGATCAAAGGATTTGCATCAAATTTTGTGTAAAAAATAAAATAAAGTGCTCCGAAACACTTGAAATGTTGACGGTGGCATACGGTGAAACTGTTCTGTGTAAATAAAATGTTTACAAGTGGTACAAACTCTTCCAAAATGGCCGGGAAGATGCCAGTGACAAGCCTCGCTCTGGACGCCCAAGCACGTCAACATCTGATGAAAACGTTCAAGCAGTGAAGAAAATTGTTCTGGAAAATCGTCGAATCACTATCAGAGAAGTTGCTGAGGATGTTGGTATATCGCTTGGCTCGTACCATGAAATTTTTTCTAACGTTTTGGGCATGCGACGTGTGTCAGCGAAGTTTGTTCCGAAATTGCTAAATTTTGACCAAAAGAATCGTCACATGAGCATCGCTCAAGAACTGTTGAATAACGTCAACGACGACCCAGATTTACTCAAAAGGGTCATAACTGGTGACGAATCATGAGTATATGGTTATGATATCGAAACCAAAGTCCAATCGTCCCAATGGAAGAGCCCAGATGAGCCAAGACCGAAAAAAGCACGCCAAGTTCGATCAAATGTTAAAGTTTTGCTCACTGTTTTCTTCGATTACCATGGCGTGGTACATCAGGAGTTCTTACCATATGGACGTACGGTCAATAAGCAGAATTATCTTCAAGTTCTGCGCCGTTTGCGAAAAGCAATACGAAGAAAACGCCCAGAATTGTGGAAAAACAATTCATGGCTTTTGCATCACAATAATGCCCCTGCTTACTCATCTTTGCTTGTGAGAGATTTTTTGGCCAAAAACAACACCACAATCATGCCTCAGCCACCATATTCACCGGATTTGGCCCCATGTGACTTTTTCTTGTTCCCAAAACTAAAAAGACCTATGAAAGGACGGAGATTTGCAACGGTTGAAGAGATGAAGACTGCATCGATGGAAGAGCTCAAGGCTATACCGAAATGTGATAATGAGAAGTGCTTTGAGGATTGGAAAAACCGTTGGCATAAGTGTATTGTATCTGAGGGGGATTACTTTGAAGGGGACAACATTAATATTGATAAATAAATAAATATTTTTTCTTAAAAATACAAAGTCACTTTACTTTTTGAACACACCTCGTAATGATGTTACGTAGGCTATTAAATGAAAGGTTTTATAAAATGACAAAAATAACAAATTTTTGATAGAATCAAGATTTTTTACTTTATATCATAGTTAGTAATTTTTAATATTGGATTATACATAATTAATATACAGTGATAGTTAGTATTTTCTGTAGTACTTAGCATATATCATAAATCCAAAAAAAAAAATTCTGTTCATATTTTCGTCTAGAATTACTCTATATTTTTTGACATTTTTTTTTCAAAAACATTTTTTTGTTGATTTTCAGCAGTTAAAAATGACTCTTCTTATAATTGATGGAAACCAAAATTGAATAAAAAATAAATTCCGGTAACTTAAATACCGAAAAAAATATATTTGAAGATGAGGATCCAAGAACAAAATTGCTTATTAGGAATATAAATAAACCATAAACTTTAATTTATTCTTTAAATGATAACATGCAAAAGTAGAACAAAAATAATAATAAATAAATTTTCTACAGTCCAGAATATATACAAAGCAACATAATAATAATAATTTTACCTGTGCATGTAATTTAATGTAACTCTGAATAATACAACTGCATTTATCAAATTTTTAAACAACAGAAAATAAATTTTTTTGAAAAAAATTCTTAAAAAATTTATATTGATTCTATATCACAAAAAAAAATTTTTCTCCCTTAATTTTTGTTGTATGTTCGTTACTGTAATAAAAATAATCTAAAATATACAATTTTTTTGACAAAAATCGCCGTAATTTGGTCAGTATTTAAGCTAGAAAGAAATAAAAAACGGATTTTGAAATTCTTGAAACAAGCTTGAAAATCATTGGTAAAGAATTCTTATAGATGGATTATTTATCAAATTGTGTAGGTTTGAACAGAATTTGAAATATTTCATTTCCTGAACGTCCATTTTAACGTAATAAAGTTTAAAATTAGTTTAACAAAACTTTACACTAAATTACTTGAAAGTACTTATAAATACCTTGAAATTAGCACTCACTGATGTCTGTACTATCATTTTTAACAAAACTTAATATTACCTGATTTTAGTTATTGGTGGCCCTTTTTTATTCGACCACCATAGTATATTGATTATATATATGTATAAAGTAAAGTAGTAATCTACCACTCAAGGTTGTAATGCGATATATTACAAGGCTTTGCCTGAAAGTGTTGCATTATTTGCAACACCTCCGGAAAGCCACCCCCATCCCTTGATGCCCTGTAATCACCCATATCATTATAACGTATGCGCGCCCTAATTCGAACATTAATTATTTTCCATATGCCTCCACCCAACCTGTGAAAATGATGTAACAAGTTGGAAAACGTGATCCGACGGATGAGCGAAAAATGGGGCGTACTACAAGAAAAAGAGAGCGCACGCACACACACACACACACCCGACCACGTGTTACCGGTTGGAGCAAAATACACGGGAAACCTGACTGAACAATGCAACAAAAATGCATGTGAGCGAAACCTGCGAGCACGTTACACTTCCCAACACTGACACAAACACTCTGGAGATGCTGGCACACCTCGGCCGAACAGAAAATCGTCGATGAAGTAGCAGCCGGCAATCAGCTGTGTCAGGCTGTTGCGCACCATCGACGACATCCTGAGCGCCACACACACTGACACTGCGGCCGATCACTGTTAACACCCGGAAACACACACACACAACACCCGGACACAACCGAAGGGGAGCGCTCCAGGAGGCGCTTCGAAGACCGGCAACAGAGCACGAGGTTGACACGCGGGAGCGAATGCGGCCATCTTGAAGAGCGGTACAGAATAATGAGAGAGAGCGAGACAGACTGGACGAGGGTGAGTGAAACAAACTCAATAAGAGCGAGCGAGACAGACCATATGAAGCGAGCGAACTAAAACAATTATTATATAGATTCAAATGTAAATACGATGATGAAGGCGCTTACAAGACCGACTTACAATTATATTATTACTACAAATAATTTAGCGATACGATTTATACATGTAACATATTGAAATATAAAATTAAAAATACTTGTATGCGGCCGCTATCACCCTTTGAATGTATTAATAAGCGACAAGCCATCTGACAAATTAAATTAATAACTTGATTGATGAAATTCTAAACTCTGACGAAACTCGCTGGTGACGTCACGACCAATAAGGGAATTAGAATAAAATTTGATTTTCGTACGCAACGAAAAATAAATAAGAGTAGGGGTTGATCTTTCTTATCAATCAATGCTAGTTGACTTAGTGGGGGGGAGGGTA